AAGAATCGTGAATTCTCCAGGGGTTGCACGAAAGCACAAATAAAAAATAATAATAATAATAATAATTTTTGTTGGAAAATCCAAATTTTCCAGATTTTTCTCCAATTAATCCGTGATAACGTCTTCTGGAATATTATTATTATTTGAATATAACGTTTCCTACGTGTACTCGTCGGAATTTTTTTCCAGTCATCATTCCAGGTTTTTTTTTCCCCCATTGAAGAATGTGGACTGCTCTCCTTACACCCGACGTCATTTCCTGTACGGTTTTTTCTTTTAATATTACATGTCCAGCGATTACGTCACGGCTTCCAGTGTTCCCACGATAACCGGAATTATTTCCTTTTGCATTAAATCCTTCCCACATATTGGCTAATTTCCATCTTCAAATTCCTGTATTTCAGTTTTTTTTTCCGCTTCTTCGACTTGTACCTTCTCCCCTCCCCTCCCCCCGGTGGTACGGATACTTCAATTAGTTTACATCATTTCCGGTTTAACGGAATTTTTCACAATTATTTATTGATTACACAAAACTGTTGGAATCTAGTTTAAATAAGTCTGATTATGGTAACCCCCCTCCAAAATCCATCGAAGATCCTTATAAAATTATTTGTACCTACATAAACCTTCATATTATTATTATTATTATTATCATCATTATTATTTCCATGAGAGCTGAAAGATTTTTTTTTTTAAATTGCGAAATTTTTTTTTTTAAATATAATTAATTATTACGAGTAATTTTTAAAAAAAACTTTCCTTTTTTTTCCAGCCTACAATAATTTTAATATGAAAAATTCCAGTCAAAATAATTGAAAAAATTTTTTTTTATTTTTAAATTCGAAAAACGGTTGGCAAAACTGGAGGAATCATAAAAAAAAAACCTTCATCGACCTTCTTTCTTTCTTTCTTTTATTTAATTTTTATCCTCGTAAAAAAAATCACCTTGAATTTTTTACTGGGCCTTCGTTATTTAATTAAAAAATATTAATAATAATAATAATTTCGTATGGAAATACCTTAAATCGAAACCTTTTTTCTTTTAATCTTCAAAAATCTTCGGAAATTTTCGGGAATTTTCGTTCATCATAACGTTTCGGAGACAAAAATTTCTTACGAAAAAAAAGAAAAGGCTTCGTGACGAAGAAACCTCCCTAAAAAAAAAAAAAGAAATTATCAAAAGTCGTGGTTTTAGATTTCTATAAACACGTCGACATTATTGTTTCTCAAAGAAAAAAAAAAAATTTTTTTAATAACTCCGCCCCCCCCCCTCGTAATTTTTCCACACGACGTAAACGTATGAAAAAATCTCGAACGTCATTTTTTTTTTCAAATTATCTAAAACAAACAAACAAACAAACAAACAAACAGACAAACAGAAAAAAAAACAAACAAATTTTTCATTTCGTTCCGCACATTTTCAAAATCGGAAAAAAATCCCGCCAAAAAAAAAAAAGAAAATTTTTTTTTTCGTAATGTACGTTCAGAAATTTAATTAAAAATAATTATTATTTCTCATTACCAATAAATGAATGATGACGTCATTAAATATATTAAACAAAAAAAAAAATCCTTCGAGGTTAGTTCAAACGTGCAAGGTTTGCATCCTTGCGTGCGTGCGTGCGTGCCTGCGTGCCTGCGTTCGCCTAATAGTAATAATAATAATAAATGAAAATTCCTTTTCCACATTAAGACATCATATCATTATTATTATTATTAATATTAATATTAATATTTAATAAATTAAAAATAAATTAATTTTTTCGCGTAATACGAATACCAACCGTACGAAGGGTAGTAGTAGTAATAAAAAAAAAAGTAATAATAATAATAATTATTTTGTCATTAATATAACCGGAAAAGGAATTTTTTTTTCTTTCGAGGATTTTCTTTCTCTTCTTCTTCTTCTTCATCGTAGTAGTAATAATAATAATAATAATAATGATAACAACGATTTAATAAATTTTTTTTAAAGGTTGAAAAAAATGGGAGAGAGGGGGAGGAGGTAGCATTGAAAATAATTAATTGCAATTTGCATACGGGAGGGGGGAGGGAATCGTTTACTTAAATATTATTATTATTATTACGTTTCACGGGTTTTTACCCGGATCCCTAAGGAAGAATAAATTCATTAAATTTTATCACATTTAATAACCTAAATAACAACAATTCTTCATGTCTTCCCGTGTCCATGTTATTCCAGGTTCGGTGACAGGAATTTCAGTGGAGTAACCAGGATGATTTAAGGAATGAATATCGATCACAAATCGATTCGTCTGAAAATTATTTTTCAGGAGCGAAATAAGAACAATAAAATCAATTTTTATTCGTTTTTTCTTTTTTCTTTCTTTCTTTCTTTCTTCTACTCTCGTTCCATTTTTCTCTTCGTAAAAATTAATTTTTTCTAGAACATTCTTGACATATCTTCCATTTTCTTTTTTTTTTTTACATAGAAAGAAACTAGGTAATAAATAAAGAACAATTTTCATCCTGTAATAAAACCAAAATTAAAACAACAACAACCGAACAAATTATACAATCGATAATTAATTATTATTACATAAAAATATTTAAAAAAATTTATTCGGTCATCTTCGTCAACGTTCGTACTTTTTTAATTAAAATACCCCCTTAAACCCCTCCCACTCACTCCTCCCACCACCACCCACCCACGCCTCCTCCCTTCGCCTTTTAAAACAAAAGTCAAATTCGTTAAATATCAAATTTTTTTTTTCTTTTCCATTTTTAACCCAAAATAAATAATAATAATAATAATAATAATAATAATAATAATAATAATAATAATAATAATAATAATATTAAAAATAATAATAATAATAATAATAATAGTAATAATAATAATAATAATAATTAAGTATTAGATTCTAACATCGAACTAAAGTTTTATATATATATAAACAATAGTTACAAAATTTAAAATGTCAATTGTTAATTATTGATGATAATAATAATAATAATAATAATAATAATAATAATAATAATAATAATAATAATAATAATAACGATAACTATTTGCTTCACATCCTTTCTAATTATTATTATTATTATTATTAATTTTTATTAATTTTTTTTTATTAAAAAAATTTATATATATATACGCAATTTTAAATATAATGATTTGTTAATACTATTATTATTATTATTATTATACTATAACTATTTTTTTTTTTTTTTAAATTGATCACGTGACATTTAAATACTTTTTCTTTCTTCTATTACATAATTAATAATTTACTATATATATATGTATATATTAAGCGTATAAATATAAATTCTTACATTTATATAAATATATATATATTTTTTATATATTTCGCTAACTAATAATAATAATAATAATAATAATAATAATAATAATAATAATACTCGTCTCTCATATATAAATATAAATATATATATTTTAATTAATTTTTTTTTTTTTTCCTAAACGATTTTCTAATGTTATCATCGTAATAATTAACGTGAAATAATAATAATAATAATAATAATAATAATAATAATAATAATAATAATAATAATAATAATAATAATTTTAAATTTAATACTTTTCTTATTTAAAAAAAAAAAAAATTATCATTATTATTATTATTATTATTTTGTTTACATCTAAATAAAACGACGACGATTTAATAAATAAGTAAATAAATAATAAAAAAAAAGAACGAAACGAAACCGTTTGATCGAATCAGGTACATAAATTCATACACGCGCTATCTATGGTAACAACAACAACAACAACAACAACCAAAAATTATTAATGATAATAATAATAATAATAATAGTGATCTCTCTCCGGTTATTTACCGTCAACGATGAAACGTCACACGTAAGTTTTTTCTTTCTTTTTATATATACCGTTAAAATTATTATTATTATTATCGGGATATTTATTACTATTTTTATTACTTCGAAATCCGATCAATAAAAATAAAATAAAAAATAAAAAAATTTTTTTAAAGTATTCCGCCGCCATTTAAATCTCGGAAATGTTTTTGATAAATTTCAAATTTGCGATTTAACTGCCATCTTTCGGATTGTAAATTAAACTAAATAACAGGTTTCAACTTTAAAAAAAAAACAAAATGGCCGACTTTATTAAATGATGCGAGATTTAACCTGGCGTTTTTTTTTTTTTATACGTTTTCCGAAGCAACCCGCGTAATTAAAACAAATTTAACCTTTGACCTAATTACGATAATGATAATAACAACAGAAAATTATATCATTTCATTATCCATCCTTTTTTAACTATTGAATTTTTCCAACCGTATTTTTTTTTCTCGGAAAAATTCTCCATCATCATTTCGTTTAAAAATGGCGGAGAAAGATAAAGCGTAAAAGGAAAAAAACCGGAAACGGAAATTGTTAATATTTCCTAACCTAATCGACATTTATTTATTTATTTCTAAAACTTTTTTTTATTGTTCGTGACCTAACATTAAATCCTAATTAACGGAAGTTCATGTAAATATAATACGTAATCGATATGACTATTTTTTTTTCTTTTTTCTTCTGCTTGCTCACGTGATTCGTTCAAACCGAATGACTAATTTAAAAACTTATGACTTTACATAGACGGTTACGTTTTATATTATTGGAATGTATTTGAAATTTTTGCGCGCGCGAAATGGAATTTTTTTTTAAACCTATAATAAGCTCTCTACTATTGACACTGACATCATAGAGAAAGAAAACAGATAGTAGTTAAAGCCACGATGATAATTTACGACTAATTCCGCAAAAAAATTCTAATATCCGTCCAATAAAAATTTATTAACGGAGGAAGAGAATTTGGGGGGGGACACGAGGGGGGGGATTTAGAATCGTCTAATACAATTTTGGACTTTGTCATGCAATTCTTATGTGTTGCGGGTTTGCGTGTGAGTGACGACGACGACGACGACGACGACGGAAAATCTACGAAGATGGAAAATCATTTTTTTTCCTTTTTCTTTTTCCTTTGGCGGATCCAATTATATTTAAAAAATATCTTCGATTCCAGAAAATTCTCTATCCCAATATCCTCCGCTATAAAGCCAATCATCCGTTCTCGTGTGAGGATTTGATCCTTGAGTAAACCACCTTTACAAAAAAAATTCATTCATTTTAATTTTTCTCCCCCCTTGGAACATTCGAGAAAAAAAAAAGGAGAACGTGACGTGAATTATTTTTCCCTTTTTTTTTTAACTTTACCTCGGAGCCCATTCCCCTGTTTTTTTTCCCTTTCGTGATTTTCTCGCATCTCTTTGCTTTTCTTCCAATCTTGTTTTTTCAGCTGCAGCACCATCTATGTCTCCCAATTCTAATTTTCTTATATCTGGTCTCAGTCTGAAAAAGACAAAATTTTTTTTCTTTTGAGATAATTAAGGAAGACTAAAATGAAAAAAAAAAAAAAAAATGGCGGCGGCGTATATCGTACCTGGAATCCGTCGGACAAAGTTCCTTACGAAAATCCTCGTTAATTTCATTGAGCATCATGGCAAAATTAGTAAATTGATAATACTGTAATAATAATAATAATAATAATGATGACAAATAAAATATTTTAATTTTTTCACAGAGATCTCTCTCTCTCGGAAAGATTGTCTCACCTCCGAACAATTTGCCGGTCTCGGTTCAGCTTCCCAAAGAGTTTCAGAATTTGGAATGTCAATGGAATATGACGAATCGCATTTTGGAATGTCACCGTCGGCCACATCCGGTGGACCATCTTCCTATAAAATAATTTTTCAAAACGAATCACACGTTTTAAATTTTCAAAAAACTTTTTACATTTTTTTTTTTTTTGTTTTTTATTTTTACCTCAGCTTGAGAATTTTGCGACTTGAAACTCACGCCCATTTTAAGACTGTTTAATTTTGCCAAAACTTTTTTCGGAGTGTGAGAAGGAGATTCGCCGCCTTTTTTATCATCTCCACGTCGGAATTTATGAGCATTTTCCTTGTAATACTCTTCGAAATTACTATAATCCGTGCACCGTATAAAATCCGTCCATTTTCCATAGAGAAATTTCAACTTTTTTTTCCTTTTGAACGCAAGAAGGAGAAAGGATTTTTATTTACGATCGTGACGTCATCGCAAGAATAAAAGAGACGTAGACTTACGTCTTGTCCATGATGAAACCTTCCACGCGATGAAGATCTTTTGAAAACCAACCCGCGGGTTTAAACGTCAACACGGCTCTGTGTCCCGTACTATGATTCAAAACTTCCATTGTTCCATATTGTTCTATCCATAATTTCCCTACTATAATGTTGTGTACGCAACAATTGACGTTAGTCCAAGTGTAAGCTTCTCCCCATCTGTAAGGAAAAACCGTAAAGTTAAGGAAAACCGTTTCGTTTAAAATTTTTTTCTCTCTCTATCTCTCTCTGTCTTTCTCACCTGGGCAATTCGACGGTGACCATTCCTTTGGGTTGAATTTCCACACTTTTCCCCCAAAACCTCAGCTTTGGATGTATCGAACCGTGAAATATAAAATCGCTGCTATCCGCGTGAAAAGCGGATATGGGAGGATGATGCGATACCTGCTCGCATATGATTCTAAATCCAGGTCTCTGGAGTTCGTACGTTTCACCGAGTAATGGATTAAAAGGTTTTCCGAGTCTTTCCCAATTGGATGCGAGGGCGCTAACGGCAAATCCGGCAACGTACTGAAAAACGAAAAAAAAAAAATTCGAACGAGGTTTATTCCACTTTTCTCTATATTTTTTTTTTTTTTAATATTAAAAGCAAAAAACAATTTATTACTTTTTCTATATTCCCCCCTCCTTTTCCCCGCCCCCCAGTAAAATATTAAAACGACCAAGCCTCAATCTCTATAAAAAAAAAAAAAAAACCTTTTCGCTTTACAATATGATGAAAACTAATTAATTTTTCCTTTTTTTTGCGTTAAAAATAAATTTTTCCTTTTTTTTCCGTCGCTTTTCACAATACCTGAAATTAACACGATATGGAAATTTGATTATTTTTGGCTCACAACACGCACACGCACACGCGCACGCACACACCAAATTTATATTTATAAAATCAAGGCCGAAGGAAATTTTTATCAAAATTTCACAATCTCCATTGTTGTTGTTGTTGTTGTTGTTTCCAAAAAAAACACAAAACCGACTTTTTAACGGAAACAAACCCTGGATAAAACTTTATAAACTCCAAAACGATTTATTTACTTTAAAATTGATTAAAGCCCAATGATTACTTAATTAATAATAATGATAATGATAATAATAAAATCTAACCTTCATTCTATCGACGGGATCGCTTTGCTCGCTCGCTTTTCTCAATAGATAAGCGTATTCCATGTATTCGACCATCCTCTGGAGAAAACTCAAAGGTTCGTTAAATATTACGGGCATCGTTATTTTCGATAATTCTTTTCCTATGCAATTTTTCAATACGGACCATATGGAAAAATCGTTACGGGAAAACATTGGAACCGGAAGTTGAGTCCTGCAATAAAAAAAAAAAAAAAAAAAAAAACAAATAAAATGATGAGAAAAAAATTTTCTTTTTTTTTATTTCTCCTTTTTCTTCCTGTCCTCTCTCTCTTTTTCTCTCTCTGTCTCTCTCACTCTCTCTCTTCCTTCCTGTTCCCCTCTCTCACTCTCTCTCTCTCTTTCACTTCCTGTTCCCCCTTCTCTATCATTCTTCCTTCCTCTCTCTTCCTTTCTGTTCGTCTCGTTTTCTCTCTCTCTCTCTCTCTCTATTCCTTCTTGTTCGTTTCGTTCTCTCTCTCTTCCTTCCTGTTCGTCTCGTTTTCTCTCTCTTCCTTCCTGTTCTTCTTTCACTCTCTCTCGCTTCCTCTCTTCCACATTATCACATAAGAAAACTCACCTATGTTCTTTTTCAGATCGTTCCTTTTTCTGCACGTCAGCCATATTGACTCGAAATAACCAATTTTCGTACAAAAACAATACCTTTCCAAATTTTTTTCTATTATTCTCCCGCACATCCGAGTTTACTTTTATTTTTCAAAAATGTATTTTTATTTATTCGAATTTACTAATAATAATAATAATAATAATAACAATAAAGCGATAATTTCAATATTAATTTATCGCGCCAAATGTCATTTCAAATAATTTTTTTTTCCTTTTTTAAAAATCGAAATTCAATAATTCACTTTAAATAATTCAAATCGAAACGTTTCTATTTAAAAAAAAAAAAAAAAAAAAAAATTTTTTTTAAATAACACAAAACTTATTTTCGTGTGTGATAACGCAAATAGTCGTCATGATAAGAAATAATAAAATTATAAAAAAATTTTTTTTTTTTTTAATCGGGGTAATTTATAACGACGACGTCACGTTTTTTTTTTTTAGGCACGTCAACATAAAATAATTTCGACCGAACGCTTTTCCATTATTTCACTTTTTTTTTTTTTTAAATGAGGGAGATTTTCCAAAGTCTCCGATAACCACAACCCCCCTCCCTCCCTTTCTCATCATCAAAGGTCAAAACGTTTAAAACCCAAATTTTCGATATGAAAATCGATCCTTTCGATATACGATTAATAAATAAATAAATAAATAAAACGAGCGTGATGTGTTGTACGTTCGATTCGCCTCAATCCTTTCCAAAAAATTCCTTTCGGCGTTTTTAATAAAAAAAAAAAAAAAAAAAACGGGAGGGGGGGAGGGAGCTGCGGCGGCGGTGAATAAATGAACCGTTCAGGGAAAAAAAAAAAAAAAAAAAAGGTTTTTTTAATATCGAATGAAAAGCGTGGGTGGAAAATAATAATAAAACCTCTCGTTCGACGTTCACCTGACTCACGTTCAATCGTCGATTTCCAGGCTTTTTTTCCGAATGGGATATCGGGATCTTACTGGAGAAGATCGATTTGTAATTTTTTTTTCTTTTTCTTTTTTATCGCCAACAAATTACAAGTACATAAATATGTTTACCTAGTACATGAATAATCACGTGACCGTATATCAGGAAACGATAAATAATTTATTAATGGCGAACCGGGTGACTCTTTCGCACGCTTTTAACGAAATTACAATAAATAAATAAATTATTCCATTTACAAAAAACCTTATAGCATACGATTATGATTATGATGATGATGATGATGATAATGATAATGATGATGATGATGATAATGATAATTACGAAAACAAACGAGGGAATTACACAGGAACGACTCCACGTTTTTTCAATCAAGCTGAAAAGAAATTTTTCGCGAATTTGGTACAGATTCGAAAGGGATTCTGAAACCCCCCGCGTAAAAAAAAAAGATGCGAACGAGATAGATATTAATAATGATATTATTTTCAACGATTAATAAAATGATTCAAATAAGTCCGTTAAGAAAAGAGTGAGAACGTTTTCGAACTATACAACAAACGAGACCTTGAAATGTTGTTTTAACGAAATCAAAGATGTGTCATTTTTTAATTAATTAAATGCACCGACATTTTTTTTTAATCGTCTGCGTGACACGCCGACAAACTGGAAGATTACAATTTTATATAAATCATCAAAGCGGGGGGGGGAGGGGGAACAAAAAAACCCTTTTAAAACGCCTCTTCATTCTCAAATCCCTATCTCTCTCTCTCTCTCTATCAACTGACGACATTTTTTTATTTCAGTTTGTTCAACCAAAGGGAAAATAATTTTTTTAAAAATTAATTCAAATGTAAAATCGATTGAACACACAAACACACACGAAATTCCTTGTTTTGCATTCAATTGAACAAAAAAAAAAAAAAAAAAAAAAAATTTAATTAGGAATATCGTTATCGATGGCATATTAACAACAACAACAACAACAACAATCGTTTTGTACATCCAAATCGAATAGAAAACTAATAATTTATTCATTCATTCATTCATTTTTTTTTTAACCTATGTAAATGTGAACGCGACCTGAAAACCCCGGTTTCGAACGAACACTCCCCCCCCCCTCCAAAAAAAAAACCTTTTCGATACATTACAGGTGATACGTGAGACTCAGGTATAGAAGATGACGACAGACAAATCATTACAAATACTAAAAACTAATCACACGTCACAATGTCAAAGAGTCGGAAAATAGAAAAACAAAAATTTTCCCGGTTAAAACACGCCCCAGATTTTACTAAACAAAGAAACGTTCGTTCGTTCATTCATAATTAAATCTTTAAAAAAAAAATCAATTGAAACGTGTGTGTGTGTGAGAGAGAGAGAAAAAAAACGCAATACGGTTTTCCAGACATGTTTTTTTTTTTTAAATTTAAATTTACACCGAACGGTTCAAGATGGTTGTTCTCTCTCTCTCTCTCTCACTCACTCCGAACCTAATATAAAATTAATTACGACCGTACGAAACAACTAAAAAAAAAAATTTAATTATAATCTTCATCGTCACTATCATTTCCTACAAGGGAATTCACAAACCAAAGTCATGTTTGTTGTTGTTGTTGTTGTTGTCGTCGCACAACAACATCGCACGCGAAAAAACGCGAATACGAAATAAAAATCCCGTAACGAATCAAATAAAAATAAAAAATAAATTAATAAAATAATAAAATAATAATAATAATAATAGAAAAGAATTCTTTGTCGACAAACACTCGTGTGTTGAAACAAATCGACTAATTTGTAATTTTAAATATCGTCGCAAGTTAAGTACGAAGCAGACGACAGAAAAATCAGAGTTAACGTCATGCACAGATCGATAGTAAAGACGAGAAAAAAAAAATTTTTATTTTTCTTTTCTCATTCTTTCTCTCTTTCTCTTTGTTTTCTTTTCTTTCTTTTCTTTTATGATCCACGCATGATGTATAATTTTTAAAAAATAATTCCGTCAAAATTCCCGGAGCTGGAAAAATCCTTTCCTTTCTCCATTTTCTTTTTTTTTTTTTTTTTTTTTTTATTTTCTTAACGGATTTGAAATGAAATTGAAATTTACCTGTTGGGATGTGTCCAACATTTTTTTTGTACCATAGGAGGAGCATCTTTTGCAGACATAAAAGAATTTTCACCGTACGATACCAAAGTAGAAGATGACGAACTTCTAGAAAAGGCAGAAAAAATAGAAACCGTGTCGTCACATGGACTCCCGGCAGTAACTAATGTATCACTACAACTATCTACAAAATAATTTTTTTTTTTTTTGGTAAAAAGCGTTACATAACACAACCTTTTTAAAATTTTCTCGTATTGGTTTTTGTTTTTCCATCTTTGGAAAATTTAAATAAAATTTTTTTGAAATGTTATTTACCGGCTTCGAAAGCGTCGTAAAATTCATCGTCGGACGTATCGTAAAATCTGGGACTTTTTGTTTTATGCCTGTAATCGGAAGCAACTTGAGAAACTAAACTTTGTTCCAATTCGTGATGTTCTTTGGCTAATACGTTTAATGCTTCTTCTAAAACTCTACATTTTTCTTGTTCCTCAAAAAGAAATTATAAGATAATATTCAACAATTATATTTATAAAAAAAAGCTTATGCCTAGTTTTTAAATTTTAAACGCACTTGTTTCACTTGAAGAATTCTAAGTTCTTCCTGTTGGGCAAAAAGTGTTACGCAATGATTTAAAGAAGATACCATTTCCGATGATGTTTCGTAAAGCTCTTGAAAACGCTAAAAAAAAAAAACGTTTTTACTTGATATTGTGGAAAAGCCACAAAAACAGGTGAGGAACTTAATAGTGAGGTACCTTCGATACTGTTCTAAGAACTCCTTCACTATGTACAAAATTACTACTACCCATGGCTTGAACCAACATTTCAGCTTCTTTTATTTGCTTTCCCAAAAGTTGTTTGTGAGCTAAAGCATCTTGTAAGCTATCTTTCATAGAGCCCAATGGTTTGATGTTAGCAACTGCATTTTGATCTTCATCGGAATCGTAAAATACTTGACCGTGACACATATAATGATTGTTATATGAAATATGTTCGTTAAGAGCATTGATCCATTTCTAAAAATTTTAAAATTAACGGATTGTGAAAGAATTATCAAGCAGACGAAATTTTTTTTTTGTTATGTTAAAATTTATATAACCTGTCGTTCTACGGGACCAGATGAAATACTATCCATGCATTCGACCACGCTCAGTCTGTGAACGGCCGTGTCAGAAAAATGTATAATAAAAGTACAAGTGTCGTGTTCTAGGGGAGTTACTTTTGCACCATCCAAATATTTAAAATCCTTTCGTTTGATTCCGGTTGATCCGTCACCCCTACTGTTAAAATATGTTAAAACTCCTCTTTCCAAAACGGCCTAAAGTTAAAATTACTCTGACCTTCCTTCCTCTTGACAAACTAATAAATTAATCAAATATTAAAAAACCATCTTACCCAAACAGGTTTCCAACCGAGAAACCTAGAACGTTTGAGTAATTGTCCTTCAAATCTATCAGCACTTTTTTGTATGACTTTAACTGGTTTTACATTTAATACTTGTTGCATTTGTACATCTCTAGCTAAATCCACGGCCAATTTACCTGAATTTACAAAAAAAACTTGATGAAAATTTTTTTAAATTTAAAACTTTAACTAACTGTTACCATTCGATGATAATATCTTAACCTCTATTATTTTGTAATGTTGTATCGATTCCATTTTGTAATAGTAAAACAGCTGCTTCTTTATGTCCTCTATAAGATGCACAATGTAAGCTTGAATTACCCAAATTGTCAACACAATTTATCGTCGGAGGTTCTGGATCTCTCAACTTAAAAAAAAGTTTTCGAAAACATTTCAATTTTTTCAATTCGAACAGCAGTCGATACAAAAGATAATTACCAATAAATTTATTGTGGCTAAATCATTTTCTCTCGATGCAGTCAGTAATCTTTCTTCTTTTCTTCTAATATCAGCTGCCAAAGCAGCTGTTAATATTTTATGAATGTCAGATTCCGGTTTTGCAACATCATACGGTTTCCTTCCTTCTCCATTAGATATAGAAACTGATGCATTGAATTGCAAGAGGAGCAATACAATATCCTATCAAACAGATTGAAATTACTTATAAGATGATAATAATTGAGGTATGTTACAATTTAATCAGGTAAAAGGATTATTTTGATATTGTTCAATGTGTCATGTCTGCTTTGACGATATGTATTTTGAGAAATTTAAAAATTTTACCTCTCTGCCGATGAAAGCAGCTTTGTGCAAACTTGTATCACCAGCATCATTAACAGAATTAACATCACAACCACCTTTGAGTAATTTTTCAACAACATTTAAATGTCCAAAATAAGTTGCTAAATGCAATGGAGTCCATCCTAAATTACTTTTTGTTTTACCTATAATATTAAATGTGTAAAAATTAACTAAATCTTTTTGACAAATCAATTAAACTTTTGTTAAAAAAAAAATTTAAAATAAAAGTATTCGATGACAGAAACAACGGTTAAAATCACTCACACAAAGTTTTAATATTAACAAAAAAAAAAAAAAAGAAAAAGAAAAATCTTTTTTAAAAAAATTAAAATAAATACCTTTACAATCGATATCAAAATCATTTGAATTTTTAGATCTGTATAATAATAATTCGGAAACGATTTTAACATTTCCATGTCTACTAGAATATAATAACAACTCTTCAAATTCTTGTTTTGTATATTCTTTACGTTCCTCTTCCGACATATTTAAAAAAACATAGGGTAAAGGAATCTCGAAATTTCAGCAAAGGAATATCGAAATGAAAAAAGGCTCGCTTCGTTCAAATTTGAAATTTTTTTTTTTTTTGCAAAACTTTTATCAATTTAAATTTTTACTAATGTTATAAATAATTATTTTTTAAAAATAACTTCAAATCGAATTTTATAAATAGTAAGTAAAAAAACCGTTATATTAAATTTTAATGAAAAAAAATTTACTTACATACTTGTATATATATATATATATAAATTAACTTTCCATAAAACTTTTTCTTATTTAATTTTACACATTTTCAAATTTCATTTTCGTAAAATATTTACTTTAAATTTCACTTCGAATCAATCAAATCGTTTAAAAACGGTTAAAAACCTCCCCAAAAAAAAAAAAAAAAAAAAAAAAAAATTAACCCGTAACGAAATTCGAATTCATTCGAATGAAACGATTAACGGAAAAAGGAAATGAAATAGTCAGTTTGACCAACTTCAAAAAAATTAACAACAAAACGATTAAATACATTTTACAATAAAAAAAAAAATTCATTTATTTATTTAAGAAATAGAAAAAAAAAAAAAAGAAAAAAAGAAAAAAAATTTAATAAAACATGAAATAAATATCACATTTGACCAAAAACAAAACGAATTTTAATTATTACAAATCAATCAATCAATCAATCAATCAATTAATTTTTTTTTGATATCCCCGCGAAATTTGTGTATGTCTGTGTCTGTGTTTTTTATCTCTATGGAAAAACATCCCAAAGTATAATAATGTAAACTGTATATAACCACTCCAAAAATCATAATATCCATAAATTAAATTTAATTGTAAACAATTCAATTACAATCAATCGATGATTAGAAATCGATCAATCGATAGATCGATCGATCGATCGATCGATTCATAATCGCATAAAATTTAATTTTCAAAATTGAGCCATTACAAAACATATATATATATATAATAATAAATATATTAAAAATAATGATTAAGATTTTTTAATGACGTTTTTTAAAAAAAAAAAAAAAAGTCGGAAAATTTGCGTTTGTCGTTTGTTTATGGGTTTGTGTTTGTCGGTATGGTAGTGCGTGTGTGCGTGTCAAACGTGAATGAGGTGGTGGTGGAATGAAAAATGCCGGTATGGATGATATCCGTTCTTCGTTTTTGGTCGTTTTTTTTTTTTTTGTTTTTTTTTTTTTTTTTTTGTATTTTTTTTTGTATTTTTACTTTGTTTGTCGTTTATCGTTTGTTGTATTTGTATGTTTGTTTTATGTGTTTTTATGACGGCTTTGGGACCTTTTTCGCACCGAAGCCAAGAGTAATAACATCATCATACGGGGATTTCTTTCAAATCGCTCGGTATTTCATTTTTCGGATGTTTGTTTTCGAAATGTTGCCTATAAGTCTTCGGATCGGGCATTTGTGCCTTGCAAACGGTGCAAACGTGTACGAGAGCAGCTTGTGCGGCTTTCTTTTGAGCGTTCGCATTGTGTCCCTGTTGTTTTTTAGCTTTCAATTGTTTCTCTTGTGCTTTTGCTTGAGATTGAAGTTTTTGTTGTCCTCGAGCCATTTTTTAATTAATTTTCCTTGTTCTTCTTATTTAAACGAATGTTTGTTTTCCAATAATAATAAAAAAAAAAAAAAAAAAAAAAAAGAAAAAAAAAGAAAAACTAAAACTCAAACACGTGGGTCAAGGGAGTAGGATGAGAGAGAGAGAGAAAAAAAAAAAAAGACACCTGAAACAAACAAAAAAAAAAAATAATAATAATAATTTGTATGATTTATGCTTGATAATGTGCAGACGTGGAACGAAAAAAAAAAAAAAAAAGTGGCAGCAACCGTAACGAACACGATTCGACCCAAAAAATTTTTTTTCTCTTGTCGTTCCAAAACGGAATTCATTTTTGAAAAAATTATATGCATTACCACTCCATCTTTAATTATTCTCTCTCTCTCTCTCTATCTCTCTCACTCACACACGGCTTTTTATATAAAAATGTTTGACCCAACAACAGCAACAACGACAGAGTTTGAGGCGTTGCTGTTGTTTTTAAATGAAACGTACGCCCACTCCCACACCATGGAATTTTTTTTTTTTTTTTATAACGAGAAGAGAATTTTTTTTGGCACGAAACGTGGTTGGAGAAAGTAAGCAAGTTGGTGAAACGAACGAACGACTATAAATTTCTTTCTCTTTTTCTTTTTAATAATAATAATAATAATAATAATAATAATAATAATAATAATAATAATAATAATAATAATAATAATAATCTTCTTTCAAAAAAAAATTTATGGCGGTTTGCAGGAATATCAGTGATGTTGGGAGGTCGGTGAAAGTTGAAAGTCATTTATAAAATAAAATCTTGTTTCTTTCCTTTCCTCCCCTCCACCCTCCCTCCGCCCAACCCCACACCTTTAAAACTTGTTACTATTTTCTTTGATCTACATTAAACTAATAATATACTTTACTCTCCTCATTCATCCACTGGAGAAAATAGGGGGGAAGGGAAGGGAAGGGAGGGGAAAAAGATTTTATAAAATTATTTCTCGAATAATGATGAAAGGACAAACAATTTGAAACTCGGAATTTAAAAACATGGTAAAAATTATTTCGAAAAAAAAAAAAAAAACAACCTTCGATACCTCATCCTGATTAGAAAGGTCACGCAGGTACCAAAAAGTTTTCACCTTTCACCTTTACTAATTATTATTATTATCATTATTATTATTATATTAAAAATTTTAACCAGAAATAGTAAAAATAAAATAAAAAATTAACAAATCCTAGTCGTCAAGGTGAACACATTTTTTTAACCAGTAAAATATTATTAATAATACTAATAATAATAATACTAATAATAATGATAATAATTATCACTTGGTTGATCATCATCACTTTTACAAAAAAAAAAAAAAAGTAACAAAGTAGTTGCAAACACTTTTGAATGGAAAAACATTGAAAATTGTATTGTAAACACGATAATACCCATAATTATTATTATTATTATTATTATTATTATTATTATTATTGTTATTGAAAAAAACTTGTTATGATTAACTTAATTTCAAATAAAACAATAATGGATGTTTAATTATTATTATTATTAGTATCATTTTTTTAAACTTGACATAATTACTCGAATAAACAATTTTAAAAACATGCGGATGTCCCTTCATCAAACGGACAAAAATGATTGAATTTGTTCTAGTACAAACCAAAATGTCTTCCAATACCAAATAGTAAAAGCAATGACGAGTTAACAATTACGAGAGAAGCGAAAATATTTTTCAAACATTCAATATGCCAAGTATAAATATCATAGATTCGATTATTAAAAATTATGACAATATTTTAGATAACTAATAATAATAATAATAATAATAATAATAATAATAATAAAATGTGGTTGAAATTGATTAAATTTCAAATTTCCAATTTTCTTAATTACTTTTCCCCTCACTTTCACACACACACACACATTCATTATCCGAAAGAAAGAAAAAAAATTTGATAACAATGAAAAGCATATTTTTGTCAAAACCTGAATTATGTTAAATTAAGGTTAATCATTTTACACACACACACACACAAAATAATAATAATTATTATTATTATTATTTAATTTCCTAAATGGATCATTTAAAAAAAAATAAAATAAAATAAGAAAAAAATTTTTTTTTTTTTTCCACGCATGCAAATTTTTTTTTTTTTTATTTCCATCACGACCATCAATTTTCCTTTCCTTTTTCCCCCAC